AATAGATATTGAAATTAACTATGAAGAATTTTTATGGCTTTTAGGATGGTGAAAATTCACATACTTATAATTTCAAAAGTCCAAAATGAAGATTTTTAGTTGGACATGATCATGGCCGGAATAATTTAATTTAAACGTCAAAATGAAGATTTGTAGTTGGACATGATCATGGCTCAAAGTTAAAAAAAAAAAAATTATTTGTACATTATTTTTAATATATGGTATTCATATTGATCATATTTTTTTATTTGATCTTCATATTATATATAATATGAAAATAACTTTGTTTATCTTTATAAATAAAATTTAAATGCATTTATCAAACTAAATTGAAACATATCAATAAAACTATAAACTAGTTTGCAAATAAGAAAAATTAAGATATCATAAAACAATCATTTTAGTGTATTGTTTTTATAGATCTAAAAAATGTAGAAATTAGGTATTAACAAGCAACAAATATTAAGAAATATTTAAAACTTTATGTCTCGACTTGAATAAAGTATATAGTTGTCACTTGTCATATTTATGATATTGAAAAAAAAGAATATCATAATTAAAAATATTTTATATTTTGTAAAAATTAAAAAATATTACACTTGTACATATTAATTTATATTTTAAATCACCAATTATAACTTTAAGTTACTTGAAAAAAATAATATATGAGAGAAACCAACTTTATATATTGAAAATATAATAATAATTCAATAAGGGTGTTAAAAATTTGAAAAATTCGAAACTAAAGTTGTGGTATTATAGATAATATTTATTTTAGATATATTTACAAAAATAATTAAAAAATTATCATTTTCGACAAATTGAGTGTAAAACATCTCATTAAATAATATCACTCTGTTAATCTTTTATTACATATTGTATATTTGTTGTTTATAATTTAACAGTAAAATATAAATTACTTACTTATATTGAGTGTATAATCATTTTTTTGCGAAGGTAAAGGGTAAACTATAAAACTAGCTATTAGATGCCAAATTCTATTGGATTTTATTGAAGTACTAGTACAATACTCGTATATTACACGGGTACTTGCTAAATTTTTTTTTCTTAAAATTAAAATTAATGAGAAAACGTGGTTGAAAGTTTTAAATACTTTTTATTAAATAATATATATTATTATATATATTAGTATGACAGTTGTTACTTGTGCGACTTACATGTGTTATATTAAAATAATTTTTCTAACTTATAACATACAACTACATTAAACATAAATATATTAATTGAGAAATAATTTTATTTCTTGAATTAATTTTAATAAATAAATTCGTTATTATATATAATTTATTTATTTTATATATACGATATGGATGTCAAATCGAAGCTCATCAAAAAATAATTAATTTGATATATTATAAATATATAACTGGTAAGAAATACAATATCAACTTTTAAAATACATTTACAGTTCACTGGTTATAATAGGAAATGATATTAAAATACAATTAATATATCTAAAATGATCATAAATAAATCAACATATTTATGGTAATTTGGACCTAATTATTTCTTGATTGACATTAAATTAAAATCTATCCAAGTCAAATAATGAAGCATGAAATTTTGACACCTAGGATCCCGAAACATTTGAATCTACTACTTAGGTTCAACACATTCTAAAATTATATATAAAGGGATAATACGAGCCTCCAAAGGAAGTAAATAAATTAGTAAACTTGGAAACTTCATGAATTCCAAATACTGCCCAACATGTCATCACTATCAAATGCAAAATACTAATATTAGTTCTCTATTGAATATGGTGTTTTCTAGGGATGCACAAAATATG